TTCCAACAGCTTCTCTCTATCAATTCTCTGTCTCTCTTTCTCTTTCTCAAGTTTCTTTCTCTCTTTCTCTTCCTTCTGTTTCTCTTCTCTTTCTCTATCAATTTTCTCCTGCATCTCCATCTTCACTTTGTCTCTTCCACTGCTCTCTGACTCTTTCTTCTTTGCAGTTTGAATCTCTTTCACTGTCTCAAACACAACTGCAAGAGGAGCATCTTCAAGAATTTCTGCAGGGGGTTGGGGTTGGGGGATAGCAACAATATCCAGATCATCTTCGTCCTTTTCTCCTCATTCTTTCTCTTTCTGTCCTCTTTCTTCTTCCTTTTTCTCTCTTCATCCTTCTCCTTCTCCTCTCTTGCTTTGTCTTCTCTTTCTTTAATTTCTCTCTGTACCACTTCATCAATTGGGGCTTGGGAAAATTGCCTTGAAATGTTTATAACATCGTCCCAACCTTTGTCACTCCCTTGGGACTGGGACGACATCCCCAATCCCAATGAAAAACTAGGACCTTCATCATGATGCTTCTTCTTGTATGCAGCCCTCTTCCCAATTGCACCCTCAACCTTCTCAACAAATGCAACTATTTCTGGATCATTCCGGAAAGCATCTGCTTCTTCACTATTATCTTGAAAGGAATCATTCCTCTGAGAAGATTGCGGTATATTAGGACTGAAAGTGATCATATTTTCAGTTGCTTCTTGAATCTTCTTAAAATTTGAATCTTCTGACACTTCAGCGAGTGCATCTTCAAGCAAGGTTATTACATCAATCACATGCGAAGCCAAGCACATAACCTTACTAACCAGCTTGGATTTATAACCCTGCTTATACATAAAATTAAACAGTGTGAACAATTATTATAAAAAAGAATGAAGGAAAAATATAACTATCTAAGCACCTACATATAACTATCCTAGCAACAGAAGATAATTAACCTAGCAGCAGCAGAAAACTAACCTAGCATATACAGGCAACTAAACTAGCACCATCACACATCTAACTTAGCAACAATATACAACTATCATTGCAAAATGATAAAACTAACAAAGTAGAAATATATATAACTATCCTATCAACAGATGATAACTAACTAACAAAAAACATACAACTAACCTATCAACAAGACAATACTAACCTAGCACCAACAGACAACTAACCTAGCAGGAGTAGACAACTAACATTGCAACATGACAAAACTAATCTTGTTGAGATATATAACTAACCTAGCAAAACAGACAACTAACCTAGCACCAACAAACAGCTAAAATTGCAATAGACAAAACAAACCTTGCAGTGACATAAAACAAACCTAGCAACATCATACAACTATATAACTAACCTAGCAACAAGAAATAACTAACATAGCAGAGAAATATAACTATCCAAGCAGTTACATATAACTATCTTAGCAACAAAAGATAATTAAACTAGCAACAACAGAAAACTAACCTAGCAACAATGGACTACTAACCTAGCAATACAGACAACTAAACTAGCACCATC